GCGGGGTCGCGCCAGCGACAGGTCGGGGCCGCGTCAGCTGCAGGGCTGGCGGGGCCGCGTCGGTGTCGAGGCGGGGCCGCGTCGGCGGCAGGGCGCGGCCGCGACAGCTGCAGGGCGGGGTCGCACCAGCGGCAGGTCGGGGCCTTGTCAGATGCAGGGCTGGCGGGGCCGCGTCAGCGTCCGGGGCACGGCCGCGTCAGAGGCAGAGCGGGGCCGCGTCGGCGGCAGGGCGCGGCCGCGTCAGCTGCAGGGCTGGCGGGGCCGCGTCGGCAGTAGGGCACGGCTGCGTCAGAGGCTGGGCGGGGCCGCGTCAGCGGCAGGGCGGGCCGCGACCGCGGCCTGACGGGGCCGCGACCGCGACCTGGCGGGGCCGCGTCGGCGGCAGGGCGGGGCCGCGACCGCGGCAGGGCGGGGCCGTGTCAGTGGCAGGGCGGGCCGCGACCACGGCCTGACGGGGCCGCGACAGCGACCTGGCGGGGCCGCGTCGACGGCAGGGCGGGGCCGCGACCGCGGCAGGGCGGGGCCGCGTCAGCGGCAGGGCGGGGCCGCGACCGCGGCAGGGCGGGGCCGCGTCAGCGGCAGGGCGGGGCCGCGTCAGCGACCTGGCGGGGCGGCGCTCTGGCCTGACGGGCCTGCAAGGGCGGTTCGCGGGCCTGACGGGCCTGCAGGGGCAGCTCGTGGGTCTGACGGGCCTGCAGGGGCGGCACGAGGGCCTTACTAGCCTGCAGGGGCGGCGCGCTGGCCTAAACCAACAGCGCGAGGGCTGCAGGACGGCGCGCGCAGCGCAGCACGTCGCAAGGCAAGGCAGGCAGGCAGGCGTAGGACAACACGTGGGGTAGCGCGGTAACCGCAATGGTAGGTGGGCCCGAAAAAAGACGGTCCACGGACCTAGTGCTCTGAAACCATGTCAGAATCTAGCAGCAGGAAAAATGAATGCACTATGGAAGAGTAGGGTACAAGTATGAAACCCTAAACAGGGCTGTAACCCATATTGGCTACCCCACTACAGCCTACACATATATAGCATGCATATACTTTGACAGTACATACGCGTCACAATCGATTGGGACACTTTATTTGAGAAAGTGTCCAGCGCGGAATGCACCCTGAGATTAATTATAACATGCATGCATCGAGTTTATATAGGAAATACATGAGAATACGAAACGACCTAGACTAGCCATGTACTCTAAGGGGTACATTCCCTTATTGCAGCGAATTCAAACCGTGCAGCACCAGGGCTCTCGCTAGGATTTTGGCCTGTCTGAAAACCGGAACCCAAAAATCCGTTTCGTCTGACGTTCGGACGGGAAATTTTCGCCTGTGTGTCTTTTCAGACGACATTCCATTGCATGTCTGAAATCTCAGACGAATCTTTTTCCGCGTCTGATGTTGCAACTTGCATCTTGATGACGCAGCAGCGGTACGTTAGACTGCACGTTAGTGGACAGGACTGTGAGGCGTGGGGCTCGAGAGGGGAGTGGGGCTGGACTAGGGTAAGAGCGAGCAATGTGGGGGAAGGGTTGGGCTGGGAAAGGTATGTGAGAGTTGGGGGGGGGGGGGGGAGGACTCTGCTGGAAGATGTGCGACAGTGCGAGGGAGTTGGGTGAAGTGCTGGGCTGGAGTTGGTAGGGTGGCTAGGCTGGTAGAGGCAAGGGGGACTTATGGTAGCGCTTGGCTGGCGGACGTGGGGGGCGGTAGGGGGGGGGGGGGTGGTGGCTTGGCTGGGCTGGTAGAGGCGAAAGGGACTTGGTTCGGCCATTATCTCCGATACTCAGATTTTGCCTGAGCGCGTTCTCAGGTGTAATCAACCTGGACTTTCTCAACGTTGATTGGTCATCGCTTTTTAGTCACATTTCTCACGCTGGTCGAACTCATTAGGAAGTGACAAAAAAAAACCATTCACTTTACCCTCCCGACCTGGATAAATGTACGGAAATTAAGGTAGTAAGAGAATGAAGCCCACATAATTCACTTGGTAGTGCTCAGTAGCGCAACCCACCGCTAAACAACGCTACCGAAAGCACTAGACGACGCTACCGAGACCTATTCAGGCATGGCAGAAAAAAATAAAACCCCTAGGGAACCTGGATGCATTTTCGAGAGGGGTCAACCCTAAACACGGAAATGAGCATTGTTTTTAGGGTTGATGCCTCCCGAGTCGCATCCCTTTCCGAGGTGGGTATTATTTTTTTGGTCAAGTGGGTTGCAATATGTTTTCCAGAGTATTTGGAGGCTTTCGGTGTTTAGGGTTGATCCTTCCCGGAAAACATATAGGTTCGCTACGGGCATTATATTTATTTATTGCAAGTGCTTGACTTCCTTTTTGAGTGACTGTATAAAAACATGAGCCAGAATAGCTTTCCACTATATCGAGAAACTGTGTTTCTGTTGGTGATTACACCTGAGAACGCGCTCAGGCAAAATCTGAGTATCGGAGATAATGGCCGGACTTGGTTGGGCTGGTAGAAGCGAGGCGGGCTTTGTGCTGGTACAGTACACTACGAAATTCGGCCAGTGAGGCGACGCGAATTTCTACACGTGCAATTACAGCCACCAAAGGTGCCTTCCAGAACTGACAACCTATGGCTACGTGGGCAGAATTGTCGGTGTCAGATGAAACGAAACTCGCTATCTGAAATTTCGGACGAAGTATAACGCCTGCTCTGATAATTCAGACGAACTAAAATCCTTTCTCTTATGGATCAGACGAAATAAAAAGCACTGTCTTATGGTTCAGATGAAAGGAAAAATGACGGTCTGAAAATCAGACCATCAGACCAAATTGGTCTGATAACGAGAGCCCTGTGCAGCACGGGAACTCGTTTTAAACATATTCCCGCTCTTTTCATTTCAAATGTTTCTGCCTGCATCGGTCTTGGTCAGACGGTTGCTGCGTCGCTTCGACTCTTCTGACTCATCGACTTTGTACTCGGTAGAGTCGGCTCCTGCAGCATGCAGGAATGCCTTCTCATACAACTTCATATCGTAACAAGTTTCATGTCAAGATAGCTTTCTCACATAATGACGGATAATTGGAAGTACACATAATTGAAATATAAATATGCATGTAATGGAGAAACATAAGTGTAATCAGATTTATCGTCATCATGAAGCAGAAATAGCATGAAATATTGGAAAATGACATGTTTGCAAGGCCTTGATTATGGGCATAATGGCATTGGTTGTTAGGTAGCATAGTTTGTTTATCAACTTCTAAAATCCCCGCTATTGTTTATTTATCCCCGTTAAATCTCCGAGCACTGGATTGTCTGTGCTGGGAATGTCGTTGCTAGGTGGACACGTGGCTGGTGGCCCGATTGGGAGCATCAGCGGAGGTCCATCACCCCGCAAAACCCTCCCACATTTCTTGCAGTCTAGCGTCGTTTTCCAGACACCCTGCAAAGCCTAGACCCACGAAACTTTCCAAATAAACGGAAGGTTTAACTAGACTCCAAGGTGCAGTTTCAGACACTCTCATGTTTCATTTCTTGAAACAAAATGTCACTTCGGCTTCAGGAAAAGGTGATGGCAGAGTTCAACCGTTCAATGTGTTCAGAAGTCTCAAGTGTGATTGCTTTCGTGTCTCTTTGAAGGAAGTCCCTTCGCACTCCCCCTCGAGCAGTTTTTCTGGGTGCCAGCCCGCATGGGAGAAGCAGACTTGAAATGCTGCCCTGGTTTCTATCCCTTTTCGCTCGGGCCTACAAGACTCTTCGCATGTGACCCATTTAGGGCTTGTAAATTTTTCAATTCTTCCCGTTCGGACGGCCCATCGTCCGGAATTTTGTAGGATTACTGGTATCGTGAGTCTTCGCTCTGTCTTTGATTCGTCAACGGTTTTGGCTAAAGTTGGTAACCCTAAAAATGTCCGGACGGTGGGCCGTCCAGACGGTCAGAAAGAGAAAAAATTACACGCCCTTATTCGCGGAGAAGAACGAATCCTTTGGGGGCAGTGATCAGTCGGTCAATGGTTCGAGTTACCAGACCAGACCAGAACCATTCGAATTCCCGTAAGCGATTGCAAGCGGAAAAGTGCTGCTGCCGTCAACGTTTACGTTTGATACCATGGATTCTCCGCATGCGCCTTGGAGTTTGCATGGTTTGTGGAAGGATGGGATCATGGGATGATCAGACATGACGTGACGAGGGGCATTCCCGTTGGTGCCCTGCTCTTTCCCCATTGGTCAACCCTCATCGCCTCCACCCTTCGCTTTTGGTTCTCTCTGCCAGACTCTGCCTGTTCATATCATCTCTCCTCGCTTCTCTGTCGTCCTCACCCTTTCTCTGAACAAGGAATTCCTTGACTACGTTGCTAACGCTTAACCATCACAGGCCAACGCAACGCAGGACACTCAACCTTGAGCGATCTGCACGTCTCAGCGACAGTGAAGCACTACGGCGATTAGGTATTCCGCCACTATATTTTCGTGTTTCTATGACCAGCATTCGAACGGCAAAATTACTCAGATATTTTTCTCGTAAGCTTGTCCTATCAATCAATCGTGATCCGGCTAAGTCCTTCGTTCGCTCGCTACCCAGCGGGCGTAATCATGCACGCAGCAGAACGCGAACTGGCCTCTTTTCCCTCAAAAGCCGCATCAGAATCAGTACCTAAAGCTATACCCTGGACAGACGACGCTGGAAATCCTCCTGGTGACGATCGCAACCATAGTCTTCGTTCAACCTCGCCGGCTTCTCCGCCCCGTCCTGCTCCTCCAACGCTTCCTTCCTCCGCATCGCAGTCGCTTTCTCCCCTTACCCGGCCTCCGCAACTCTCTCCGTCCAAGCAACAACACTCCTTTCTGGGCCTGCAAGCTGCGCCGGTTCGGCAAATGTCTCCTCTACCACCGATGCATCTTACACAAGGGGTACGTCCAGTGGCCGAACTGCAGCCGCAACCGCAGCCGCAGTCGCAGCCGCAATCACTGGCACAGGCACAACCGCATGCGGAGTCGCGGGCGCAGGCGCAGTCACAACCATCGCAGTACCGATCACCACAGATGGCCGCGCCGCAAGCTGCGGAGACTCAAGCCGCTCACGGCGCGGAAGATCATTTCGGTGCGCAACCCGCGGGTTCCGTCAAGCGCCAGCTGCTGCAGCAGCAGCAGCAGCAGCATCAGCAATCCCTGCCGATCGTGACTCCGTCAGTGCCGCCGTCGCATCACATGCCGCCGCCGCCGTCCTCGCTGCAGCACCGCCCGCCCATGCCGCACCATCTCCCTCCGCTCCCCGTTCCCCAATGGCGTTCAGGGCCCGCGGGAAAGCCCATGCCCTCCTCGTCTCTCTGGCCGCCACACGCTCCCGCCGGCTCCTTCCCTCAACCTTTTGTTTCTAGAGATTACATCCACTCTGCACTTCCGCTGCCGCACAGCTACCCTCCCCCAGACTGGGCTGCTGGCGGAGGTAACGACGCAACAGAGCGCGGGAGCGGAGGAGGCGGGGGAGGCGGGCGCAGGTTCAAGCGGCGGTCGTCGCGGCAGTCGGGTCCGCCCGTTCCGCACCCGCTCGGGCTGGACTACGGAGGCCCGGCCCCGCGCGGGTCCCGAATGCGGCGCCCGGATAAGCAGGCGCAGGCGCAGGGGCAGGCGCAGGCGCGTCAGCCACGTCAGCCGCGACAGCCGGGGCAGCTCCGGCAGCAGCAGCAGCACAAGAAGATTTGGAAACGGCGGCGTGCGCCCGGGCCGGGTTTTGCTTCAGCCGCTGCGGCGGCGGCGGCGGAAGTCAACGGTTTGGCGGCGCCGCTGCCGCCATTGTCGCTGCCGTCTCCGGGAGACGCGGAGGGGATGTTGGAGGATGGGGAGTTCCGGCCGCCGCGCCTGCAGGAGCTGAAGCAGCGGAACCGCGTCGGAACGCGGAGGTTCTTCTCTAAGTTTAAACGCCGATATCCTCCGTCCTCCCAGCAACAACAGCAGCAGCAGTCCCATCAGATGCTTTCTTCTCCGAACCCCCTTTTCGCTATGCCCAGCGCTCCGCGCAACACAACGTCGTTCATCATGCAGGCGCGCGGAGGCGCAGGTCCGCTTACCCCAGCAGGCGCAGGCACAAGCGGAGTTGGCGCCGGCGCTTCCCCCTCCCCCGCGACAACTCCGCGCCTGCTCCCAACCCCCCTGGCGTCTTCTTCCCCCGCGCCGTGGGGAGTGGGTTTGTCGAGTAGTCAGGATGGAGCAGGGGAAGGCGACATCCGCGAGTTTAGAGTTAATCCGTACGGGTCTATGAACGGAGTGATTAGACTAAGGACGCCTGACGGAGAGGACGACGACGACGGCGCCGGCGTCTTTGGCGGCGGCGGCGGCGGCGGCGGCGGCGGTGGTAGCGGCGGGAGCGTGGGCGGAGTTGGTGGTTTTTTCCGCATGGGCGGCGGCGCGTTCGGCGGGGACGACTCGGAGGGGAGCGCGGGAACGGTGGAGAAAGGGCCGTCGCGATCGACGGGCGGTTCGGGCGACTCGGAGGAGCAGGAGAACACGTCGACAAGCGAGAGCCACGGAGGTGGCGCCGCGGACGGCGAGGGAAGCAGCGGCGGCGGGGGGAGCGTCGGAAATGGCGCTGCTGGCAGCGGCGGAAGGGGAGGCGGAGCGGGAGAGGGAGGTGAGGTAGGTGAAGGGGGAGGAGGGCGGGAAGCAGCAACGGCTGGGGGCGGCGCAGCAGTGGGCGGGGCGGGGGCGGGGGCGGGGGGGAATGGAGGGGAGAGGAGGCTTGACTTGGGGCTGCAACGATTCCAGATGCTCTACACGGGGGACACCGCGGGAGCCAATGGGATGATGCCACATCATCCGGTGATGGGCATGGCAGCGCGCGGATCCAGCGGAGATTCGTTCCTGCGAGCGAGGATAGACGAGCAGGAGACGCAGCTAGCACAGCTGGAGGAGGAGAATCTGACGCTGAGAGAGGTAAGCAGGCAGGCGCCAGGCGGTCATTGGTCATGCCGCTCATAACTGTAGTTGGTTGGCTGGCTCATCTTTTCATTTCCTTCTCTTTGTTTGTCCGTTTCTGTGGTCAGCCAACGCTTCTGCTCATTTCGGTATGCATCCCATCTGAAATCGGCACCTTCTAATTCTCGACTTTCTTCCCTCCCCCCCCCCACACCCATGGATTCTCCCCGTCCCTCTCCCCTTTCTCTCTATCAATCCGTTTCTCCTGTGTGCAGCGGTTGTACGTGGCAGAGCAGGAGGTGAAGGAGCTGCGGCGGCGCCTGGGCGAGGGGTCAGACGAGCTGGTTGAGATGGGCGGTGACAACAGCGACGACGAGGCCTCTTGCGCTGCTGCACATCCTGCTGCCGTGTGAACCCTCCGCCTCTGGCTCTTCTGGCGCCTCTCTGTTCCTCAACGCCTCCAGTCTGCAATCGCTGTGGTTTCTGTCCGGTGGTCGTGCTTTCTCACTCTTACCACAGTGGGAGTTGGAGTGCGGGAGTGGGAGTGGGCGTGGACGTGGAAGTGGGTTTGGGAGTAGGTTGTGGGTGTTGGTGGGGGGGTGGATGTCAGTAGGAGTGGCTGAATGGAAGCTCTAGCAGATCCTGGTGGTGGTCGTGGTGGTGGTCGTGGCGTGGTGGTGGTGGTGGTGGTGGTGGTAGGACAAGCAGCAGTGGTATCAGCAGCCAGTGCAGTTGCTGCAGCTGAATCTGGGCGTGGTGGTGGTGCTGGCAGCGTCACAAGGCGACACATCATTGTGTGGGTGGCATGGCACGCTCTGTACCACGTGTGCTCAGCCTGTTCATACTTCCTTCCTTACTAGTTCCGCTACTTCAGCCCTTCCCTCGTTCTCCTCTCTCTTGCATTCTCCATTTCCCACACATCCGAGTGTGCGTCAAACTGCTGCTGCATGTATCCATGCTCCCAGCTCTCAGCTCATGGTGCACTGCCTGTGAATTGCCTGCTCCACACCACCACGCTGTATACCTGTGACCACAGGGCCTGCCTTCCTGACACAGGGCTCCGGCCTCAGGCTCTCCAGCCACTTTGTGTGTGGCTGCTGTGGCTGCTGTGGGTGCCGTGGCGGCTTGTGGTCGTGGCTGTCAGTGTCCAAGAGACAGGGGCAGCTGGTGAGCCCATCTAGCCTCTCCTCTCCACCCTTCATTCCCTCCATACCATCCTCTCCTTTCCCGGACTCTCGTCCTTTCTCCTCCGGTTTTCTCCCCACTGCATTCAGCCAGTGTGTGTGTGGTGTGTGGTTCTATCTTCCCATATCTATATGCTCCACGGGTCATAGTCATGGCACTTCATGCCTCCATGCCTCCGTGCTGTCATGCTGCCATGACGATTCGGCCCTGTGCAGGCAGCAGATGCACTCTCTCGGTGCACTCTCGTGGCGGTGTGCTTTCCCTGTCCATCTGTGACTGACTGACTCCTCCATCCATCTTTTACCTTGTGCTCCGGCCGGATCCAGACTCATGGTACCAGTGCCACTCACTAGTTGCTGTTTTACTGTAGCTCTTGCTGCTATGCTTATGTTGTTCGAGTAGGTTGGGTTGGATTCCCATGTAGCATGATAGTTGATGATGAATTTAGAGTTTCAGACTGTCCTCCAGCTAGAATTACCGCGGTTGTTTGGATTTTGTTCATCCGAATTCAACGCACCCTTCTAAGGGTGTGTGTGATTCCGAAAAAACGCATCTCATCTTGAGTCGAATGTTGAGTCACATTCTAAGTGAACTTGGATCGAACCGTGCGTAGTAATTTCAGTTGAATCACTGCAGGGCCCAAAATTGGTTTTGGGGCACCCTGCCATATCAGGGTCCCCCAGTGCCCTTTGCCTGACCGTCTGTGTGGGAAATTTTTTACCCTGAGCTAGTCAGTGTGTTTTAGCCAGTACCCTGTGTGTGTAAGGGTATTTAAAAAACCATTCTGATTGCTAGTTCAAAGTCCTACTGGCACAACCTAATAACTTCCCTACATGCAACTCTACTCAACATAACCACCACTAACAAGACAACACATCACTCATTCTCGGGTCCCTCCTGCTGGTCTGCACTTGCAGTGGTGTCAGGGACTGCTGCCGTGTTAAACTGAGTATCACTTGGGTTGCTGCCAGTGAAGTCTCGGATTGGCCGCCTGTTTCTGTCGCCACGGAAGATGCGTGCGACCTCAAACCAGTCCACGGTGTACTCAAGGAGAGAGCAGCGCATTATGTGTCCCAATGATGTGTCTGAGATAGCCCCCCGGCCCCACGTTTTTATAATGTTCTGCTTGCTAAACCCCCTCTCGCACTCCACCGTGCTCAGGGGCAGCACAGCGACTGCTTGCCACAGGAGCATGATGTTGGGGTAGGAGCGCTGCCATTGGTCGTCGCGCAGAGTGTTGCTGAGCGCCTGATGGAAGTCTTCGTCATGGTGCTGAGAATGCATGGTCGATGTAAACATCCAGAGCTCAGCGACAGCCTTCGTGTAGTTGAAGCCTGAGGCATAGGGGGAATGATTCTCAAAGGAGTACAAAGCGGCAGATTAGTGTAGGGAGGGGGAAGGGGGGGGGGGGGGGGGGAGGTGTTGATCTTTACGAGCACAAATCATGTGAAACAGGCCGTGTGCAGGCTATTACAGCAGGGTGTGTCACTCATGTGTGCACAGATTTGTCATAATCAACAGCGCACAAACATGGCAAGGACTCGCGGTAGAGCACATGGAGCTGCTTCAGCCAGCGCTTGAACGCCGCGACACGCTTGTCATCATCTTGTAGGTACTTCGATGACAGGAACAGCTTCGAGCCATCGAGGTGAGACAGATCTCTTAGGCGCTTCTCAAGCTGCTTGACAACCTCCCGCACAAACTTGGTCGACAGCTCGTAGCATGCTGTCGCGTCACCTGCCGTCGCTTCACCGTCAGGGTCTTCATCGGCCAGTGGTCGCTCGTGGAGCACGAACTCATGAGAGGATGGGGTCCCATCGCTATCGACCCCTTCCACCTTCATCTTCCGCTTGTCCGGGTCCGACTTCCCATGTGCACGAATGAAGGCAGGCAAATGCATCTTGTCGCCATGACCGAATGTGTGTCCCTCGGGGACACGGAGGTAGCGTTGGGTGAGGCGCATCCGCGTCTGCTCTGCAAGGTGTGCCACCAGAGTCACGTCCACCTGTGACGCACGCGCAGTACAGAATCAAAGTGTGCGTGTTGGTAAAACGATATTTCATATGGAAACCAAGCATTGAGGTGACTGTGACATAAACAGAGCGCATACTAACCTGGCGTTGCTGGAACCGAAGGTTGAGCTGATTTAGCTCGAACAGGACGTCCGCCAGGAGCCGCAGAAGCCAGTGAAACTTGAATGACGTTGCCACTTCGTACATCGTCGGCGACTGGTCTTTCATCAAAACAATGGCAGCTGAGAGCACTTCCAGAAGACGAGACACGGCTTCCCCGCGAGATAACCAACGAACTGCATAGATGCCTTGGGCTTCCAGGTTGGTTTGACAGAAGGTGAGCTGTAGATTCATGAACCGCGCGTGCTGGACGTTGCTGTTGGATAGAAGGGAGGCAAACCCGCGCACGATGGTGTCGACAATGTTGAGCTCCTTCACGGCAATCGCAGCATCTTTCGCCGCCAGAGCTTCACTGCAGGACAGAGGGTGGATCGGTGAACAAGGGGACATGTTGCCCACGCATTAGGCTCAAACATGGAGTGAAGCATATACACAACAACGCAAAGGGTTAAGGCGTAAATTAATGCACATCATATAAACGAACCGATGCGCTATGCAATGTGTGGAAACGAGGTGAGGAATCTTGGCGCGGAGACGCGCGACCACGCCATTGTGAACCCCGACCATCACGCTCGCGCCATCCGTGGCGATGCCGACCATCTTCTGCAGGTCCACACCAGTATGCTGCAGGAACTGAACGACGACAGATGTGAGCGAAGCAGCGTCTGACCGCTCAACCGTGAGAAGAGATAAGAACTCGGTCGCCACCACCGTTCCCTTGAAGAATGTGCCGTAGATGATCAGGTGCTTCCCGTGGATGCGATCCGTACTCTCGTCAATGCCAATCCCGAACCACGGTGAGGTCAGCAGGTGCTGCAGCTGGAGGTCCTGGAGGTAAGTCGACATCGATCTGATCTTCTCCTTGAAACCGTAGCTGCACACACGACGGACAGATGCGGAAGTATTAGTATTTGCCGACTGTACAGGCAATAAAACATGCTACCAACAGAAGGAATGCATGAACTTACTCCGTATAGTATGCGCCACCTATGGGCGGTAGATCTGGAAGTCCCTCTCTGGCCAGGAACCAGCAGAGAGGTACAAAAAGGGCGATTGGAGCATCCGCCTTACATATGAACATGGCGATGTGCAGACAGCGGATTATGTGACGCGTTGATGCATCCGTGGCTTGCCAACGCGTGAGAGTCAGTTGACGCTCACGACGTGCCTCAGCCTCAGCTTCCACCTTCAAAGCGGCCTTGTGCGCCCTAGTCGCAACATGGGCGCGCATGCTGCCTAGCTGAAGATCGCGGCCACCCTCGCCCTTGATGCCGTACGTCGTGTTGGCAGCGGGGTCGCCATGCAGCATGCAGATGTTGCACTTCAACGAGGGCCGGCCTGCTTTCGTGCGATGCAAACGAAGCCACGGAAAACGAGACGACCAGTCAGAATCAAAACGATGCTTGATAATAGCATACTCAGTGTCCGCATCCGATTGGGGTAGCTCTTCAGCCTCCACTGGCGGAGGTACACGTGGAGGACTTGGTGGTTTGCGTGGAGGCTTTGCACCCCACAGGAGCTGCTAGGTGTATTTCACACCACCGGTTCGAGCACGCTTAGCTGGAGCGCTGTTGACCGTTGACGGAGTGCTCTCGCCTCCGTTTGAAGGGCCCTCGTCACCACCAGGCACCAATGTCACGGACGGGTGTGGCTCCCAGGCAGTCGGCGAGTTCGGTGCCTCCCACGCATACACCATGCCGACTGAACGGACTGGTGATTCGGGGCGAGGAGGTTCTTGGACAGGAGTGGCATAGGCTTTGCCCAGCCAGGCGAAAACCCCGAGCACAGAAAGTCCATTGCGAGGAGAAGCAGGTGCTTCTCCTCCTGATTCCTCGTCTGGCATGGTAAGGTGGAGCTAGTGGAGCAGAGTAGGGGATAGAAGAAATTGCTGGAGAAGGTGAGGATGAAAGAGAAGGCACTCGTTCTAAGGATGTGGCCTTTCGACCACGCTTCCAGAATGTGTGGCGCTGCGCATGCAATGAATAGGCCAAGGAAGCCCCACCACCCACAGTCTGCAAGGACACTCCGTGGCATGGTGGTGTGGGCTACATTGCCATGCTGGATGTAAATGCTGTAGAGGCAGCGAATCACAAGTTTCCTAGTGACTCGTCTGGCCGGTTTTGTAACCATCTCGGACTAGTGGCCACATGGGCCTTGTTGTACAGAAACCACACGAGGAAAGTTTGTTTCAGTGCATTTGAAAAAGTACCCTGACGAGTCAGGGGAGAACTCGGGGTGGCCTGATTTTGCAAGTGTATTTCAAAAACTACAAATATACAGTCAGGGTCAATTTGTAAATACACGTCCTACATCAGGGCATTCCTGGAAAAGCGGCCCATAGCAAGGGTAGAAAGGGTAAAACACCCTTGAATTTTGGGCCCTGAATCACTGCACTAGCACGGGCTCCCAGCCGGGTTCGGACAGAGAGTTGAACCTACTGCGAACGCGACGGGCCGCGTAGGCGGCCTAGGTTACCCGGTTCGTGTTCTTGACATCGCGCCACGTCGGCTGGTTGCGATTCGGTTATGAGGGGGTTACAATTTACAAATAGCCCTCGTGGCCATCAACGCTGGCTCGTGGCTTGTTGATGGTTGACGAGGCTCAAAATGTTCTTCAGAAGCGCTCGTGCAGTTCGCGAGGTTTCTCGCAAGTCGCCAATTTGTTGCACGTGCACAAAAGTGCACAGGTTCACTTGAACGTGCGCACGCATGTTCAGGCATTGATTCTGAGTCCCGTTCGGAAAACGGATCTACACAAGCGCGCAGTTCAAATGTTTGTGTTTTCGCAACAGTGCATCCCGAAATTGACGAAGGCTGGTAACCCTATTTAGTTCAAACTGTGTCATGAACCTGAAATCGATTTTCACACGCCCTAAGCAGATACTTCCCAAATCACATGTGCATCTGTCAGAAGTCTAGGCAGGAAATGAATGAACTAGGAAAGTGTTGGGTACAAGTATGAAACCCAAAAAGGGGCTGTACCCCATATTGGCTACCCCACTACAGCCTAAACATATATATCATACATATAATTTGACACACCCCCATCGGCGAAGTGGGGGAGAGCGAGGGGTCACAAGACCAGTCAAGAGAAGCAAAGCAAGCTCAGGGTGGATCACAACGTCACCACACACACTGAGCACAAGAAAATGGCCACAAGGTCAGTTCACATGCAGAGGTATATATATGCAGCGACAACAACACAGTGATCTCTACCTAGCAGAGCAAGCATGCAGGTATATATTTAGATCACAGTACAAGCAAAGTCTACAGCAAATGAGGAAACGTGGGCACAAGGCCTAACAAAGTGCAGAAAGGCTGATGATCACCAGACGGAAGTGCCTTGGTCAGGCCCTCAGATTGGTTTGAGGGTATGCTGATGGATCAGCGTGCCCCTGCCCACCAGGTGTCCAAATCAGCGTTGGTGGTTTTCTTTATACTGATACTGTCAGTGTAATTTTTTTTCCTAAACTGAACCTGCAGTGTAAAAAAACAAAAAAAGCAGAGCTGATGCAACAGTGCATGGATGCGTCCAAAGTTACCATTGTGACAAACAGCAGCACCAATACCGCATGCTGGCTGAATCTACCACTAACAAACTAGCTTATGTCATGTCTTCATCAGAAGAAATGCTCGCATCATCACCACTGCTACTGGCATCGTCATCACTCTCACTGCCATCGCCTGCAGAACCACACATGCCCTCGTCTAGGTCCTCCTCCTCCACCACCCGGCGGCCACTCCCCTTAACAAACTTGGCCTTGGCCCGCTCCTTCTCTGGCGCAGCTTGCTCCTTGCGCTTGCTGGGGCGCCTTTTCCTGGTGCTCCGCCAGATGTCCAGCACCTTATCCCACTCCATGTCGTAGTCGAGCAGACTCATTGCCAGCAAATCTCCCAGCTTGGCGTTGCAGAGACTCGTCCGGCGCCACGACTTGATCACATTCTGGCGGGGAAACCCGCGCTCGCACTCGACTGTGCTGATAGGCAGAACAGCGACCGCAACCCACAGACGGACTAAGTTGGGGTAGCTGGTCTGCCAGTCGTTGGTCTGCAAGATGGCCTTCAAACCTGCATGAAAGGGCTGCTCTTCCTTGGGGGCAGTGGAGAGCACCGGCAGGAACGTGCGCAGCTCCGCTCGTGCCGCACGCTTCTGGACACCTGCGAAACGGGTTGAGCACAACCATGGTAGAAAGTCAAGCGCACAACATGGGAATAACGCAACCACGGAAACGGCAATGCATACACGCAGGTCAGTGGGGATCTATTTCTCGCTCACCAGGCAAGATCGTGTCCCAGTTCTTGGCCTGAAACAGATGGACGAGGCCGTGCAGGTGCTCCTTGCACTCTGCGTCTCTTGCCTCGACGCCCCTCGGCCACGAGCGGGGCATGAAGAGCTTCGCCCCGTTCAAGCGCGTCAGGTCTCCCAAGCGCAGCTCGAGGTTGTACACCAGCTCGCGGGCGAATGAGCGGCAGCAGGTGTAGCAGCCTTGCATGTCCCCGCTGCTGGTGGTGTATCCCTTGACTGCCTCCTCGTGCAGCTGGAACTTGTGTACACGGGGCTGACCCTCCTTGTCCACCCCTTCCACAGTCACTTCACGGCAGTCGGGCGAGGCATGCCGCGCGAGGAAAGCAGACAGCAGCTCGCTGGTCCCACCGCCAAACTGCTGGCCACAGTTCAGGTACCTTTGCTCCATGTAGATGATGGTCCGCCTCACCTGGGAGTGCACTGCAGTGAGGTCGACCTGTTGGTGGGGGGAGAATTGGTACACCAAAACAAAAGATAAGTACCTGGGAGAAGAAGAGAACTGCAAAACGGAACTCAACAACTCACCTGTCGCTTCTGGAATAGCAGGTTGAGCGCGTTGAGTGCCGTGTGCACATCTGCCAAGAAGAACAGGAAGTAATGAAACTTGAACGACGTTACTAAGTGGTACATCGTCTTGTCCGACTCCTCGAGCATAACGATGACAGCAGGCAGAACGCGTACGAATCGTGCGATTGCATCGCCGCGACTCAACCAGCGGACGCTGTGGATCCCCTGGACCTCGAGGTTGGTATGCGTGAACACTTCCTGCAGCTCCTTGACCTTGCGGTTGGAGTTGCTGGATCTGCCGAGATCTTCCGCCACTGCGCGGATAACCGCGCCGATTATGCCAAGCTCCGGTAGTGCCTTAGCCGCCTCCTTCGCAGCAAGCGCTTCCCTGCCACGGGTAGAAATGCACGGGTGGGGGTGTTAGAATTCGCACTGCGACATACCACGTTGCACATCTCATACCGCAACAACACCACCACAGCAACAGTTTACCTGTGTGCGATGCAGTGAGAAGCCACCACGTGCGGGATCTCCAGTCGAAGACGCCCAACGAGGCCCGTGTCGTTGCCTATCATCAC